TATGCTATAAATCACAGCGATTCACAATCTCGATAACTTCACTCATGACAAGTGCAAAACACACACTTTATGGTTCACTAGCTCGAAACTAACAGAATCATAAATTACACGGAACTCAAAGTAACTACTGCTCTCTCTTCATTTCTCTCTGCCAGGCTTATATACTAACGAAGAGGGCATCTCGAACAAACTCGGACTTTCCTGATTATTCGAGAAACTCATCTTTGAAATTCTGGATTTTTATATGTAAAATGTTAGTCACATTCTATTGAAATTGAAGATATCAAAGATAATAGAATGAGAATAAGGTTTCAGCTGTTAATGAAGTCGTAATTATGAGTGATTTTAATTTCAAGCATATAAATTGGGATATTCTAGAGTCAAACCATGAGGTAGAAAGGTTTTTAGAAACTGTTCAAACTGGCTTTCTTCACCAATTAGTCAAGGAACCTACTAGAAACAATGCTATTTTAGATCTATTGTTAACCCAAAAACAGAAATGATTGAGAGGGTGGAAATTGAGGAACATCTGGGTGCAAGTGATCATTGCTCTATTAGGTTCAATGTTTTGCTGCATATGGAGATAAGGAATAACGATATTTTGGTTACAAGTTTCAAAAAAGCAGGTTTTGAAGGAATGCAACAAGTATTATATGTTATGAAATGGGCAGCTGAGTTATATGGAGATACTGATGAGATGTGGAAAATTTTTAAAGATAAATTTTTAAATTTTCAAGGTAAACATATTCCTCATACTTATAAAAAAGAAAAGGTATCTGCAAGTAAAAAAACAGGTTGGTTAACAAAGTTTAAGAGAGAAAATTAAAAAAAAGCATTATAAACTTAAAATGTAAATTGACTGGTATGATAGGAGATTTAGAAGGTCAAGAAAGTTGGTGAAACAGGAAATTAGGACATCATAAAGGATGTACGAGTAATGGTTGGCTGAAGATATAAAAATTAACAGTAAGGATTTCTTTAAATACATTAAAAGTAAACAAAATGTTAGGATGGGGGTAGGACCCTTGCAGGATGATAAAGGAAGGCTAGTATCTGATGATTATGAGATTGCTGAGTTATTAATTTTTTGCTTTTTCTTCAATTTTTACTAACAAAGATTTAAGCAGTATTTTGCATCTTGAACAGTTGATAAATAGAAACTAGATCAAACAAGATGACTGAATTAATTATGAGCTGGTTAAGAAAAAATTGGGAAGTTTAAAAAACGATAAGGCTCCTGGGCCAGATAATACTTCCTCAAGGGTTTTGAAGGAGGTTAAAGATTGGATTTATGAGCCACTTACTACTATTTTTTTTCAGTCATTGAATAATGGGCAGGTACCAGAGGATTGGAAGTTAGCTAATGTAACTCCTTTTTTCAAGGGAAGTGATAAAAATTGTCCCAGTAATCATAGACCCATTAGTTGTGGGAAAAGTTTTGGAAAGTCTGTTAAAAGATGCTTTGCAAAGTCATTTAACAAAGTTGAGAATTTTATTGGTTAGTCAACATGGTTTCACTAAAGCAAAATTTTGCCTTACAAATTTTTTGACATTCTTTGACAAAGTTACTGCTTATGTAGATGAGGGTAAAGGTGTAGATTTGGTGTATTTGGATTATCACAAAGCATTTGATAAAGTGCCACATAAAAGGGTTGTAAAAAAAATCTCTATAGGTGTTGGGGATAAGTTAGCAAATTGGATAGAAGAGTGGCTGGATGGAAACTGGATTAATGTCACAAGTGGGATACCTCAGGGCTCAGTCTAGGACTTTTACCCTTTTTTTATTTACATCAGTGACATAGATGAAGGAACAGTCAATAAATTACTTAAATTTGCAGATGATAAGTGTTGGGTGGTGTTAGCTGTGAAGAGGATGCTGCTGATTTACAAAAGGGCTTAGATCATATATTGAGTTAGGCAAATAAATGTCAGATGGGTTTTAATTATAATAAATGCAAGATAATGCATGTGGGTTATCATAATTTGAATTATAAGTATAATTTGGATGGGAATAACCTGGACAGTGTCATGAAGGAAATGGATCTTGGTGTAATAGTTGATCAGTCTCAAAATACATCGAAGCAGTGTGCTGTTGCTAGTGGTAGGGCAAGTAGGATTTTAGGTTGTATCTAGAGAAATATTGAATACAAGTCTAAATGTGTTATAATTTCATTATGCAAGTCACTGGTTGGGCCACATTTGGAATATTGTGTTCAGTTTTAGGCTCTTACCTTAGGAAAGACATTAAATTGTGGAAAGGGTTCAGAGAAGGGTTATTAGAATGGAATGGTGCCTGGGATGGAGGGATTGTCATTCGAGGAGAGGCTGAAACCTCTCAAATTGTTTTCTCTGGAAAAATGAAGAGTTAGGGGGTTTCTGATTGAGGTGTTTAAGATTGTATAGGAAATTGATAGTGTTGATGCATCATCTTTTTTCATATTTAACAGAGAGAATAGTAGGACTAGGGGACACAAATATAAATTTTGGCAAGATAGGAGTGATCTTTAGCTAAGACAGTTTTATTTTTCAAACAGGGTGGAATGGATTTCCTTCAGATGTTGTAGAGGCAGTAAATTTAAGTGAGTTTAAGAAAAAGCTTGATAAATATATAAATGATAAGGACTGGCTTTAAGATTAAAAAAAATTTAGTTTAGAGGATGGGACTGCCGAGATGGACCAATAGGCCCCTTGTTGTCCCAAAACATTATGTTATGTTAATATCAATTATCCAAACACCATGTTGTGTAGAGAGACTTAATTTTGATTATGAGGGATATTTCTCACTTTCCCTTTGCTGTTCACATCAATTTTGTTCACCTCTGGAAGCAATTTCCCATTTTTAATTAATAGATCAGGAAGCCAGATAATCATAGCCATAGAACCAGTGCCACTGAACATATCATAAGTCTTCCCATTAATGAATCCATTGATTCAAATTTGGTTTCTTTTAAGTAATGTATTTCTCATCTCAGTTTGAACAGATGTAGTATTTTCATTCTTAGGATATCATCACCTTGACTTATTATCAATAATTGATTGATTACAGGCAAAAATGTAACTCCCACACTTATCACAGTTTCCTCTTCCCATCATCCTTTGTGAACAGTCTCTACCAAAGCTGTAGGATCCAGAAACTTGATGTTAAAATTGCAAACTGATTGTACTAGTTACTAACTAAAAAGTCATGGAACGAAATTTTAACGTACAGCCCAGCACCAATTGGATTTTGATGGTAGCCACATATCATGGAGTGTATCATACAGTGGTTGTGATGTGATACACATATCCTGGGACAAAATATTGTGATGTAATGGGGCATTGTAGCAATACTAGTTTTGAGTATTTAAAGGCTTTGCTCTGCAGTTCCCGCCAATATGCCCTCTTATATTCCAATCAAAACATCTTCTTTCCTGTGGTACTTCTTCCATTATGGATAAAACGTTGTCTACTTAATCCTTTGAGTTCTTCTGTTCCTCCATCAATAAAAGATGATGTTTCTACTCCATCTCATCTGGCAATCACTTAATTCATGGATGGTACTTTTTGTTATTTGTGACTTCAAGTGAACCAAGTTGGATCCTCAAGAAGACTACTTCCTTTCTTATTCTTCACCTAAACTTTGCTTTAGAAACTTCTTTCTCATCTGTTTGGTAGTTGCTATGAGTTTGTGCAGCAAAATGAAAAATTTGATGTTTACCACTCCACCCATTCAACTTGGAAAGGTTTCCAAACTGTGCCTGATATACCTTCTAGTACCTATCCATTATAATCTGTTAGCTTGATTGGGTGATGTTGTTGAACTGGCCTGCTATACACAGTAATTAGATGTAGTGGTGCAGCTGGAGTAGTCCAGGAAGATTCTGCAGTCATAAGCAACACATAAATAGTAGTAGTGACCAACTGCTTTAAATTCTCTGGACTTAGCCAGAAATTTTCCCCCAACCCGAATGCTTCAGAAAGCAGTTTGAAAAACGAGAAATTTTCAACCATTTCCATTTACGGTTATACATACATGAATCTTATGGGTAAACTTCAGGGATGCCATAAACGTAAGGCATCTAAAGCATAAATGAGTTCATAATTTTACTTTAATAGAGTCGGAAAAGTATTGTAAAAGATTAGACACTCTAAATCCTGACTATGGAATTTTCTTGGAATTCTTGAATAGATGCAGAGAGAGGTGTGGTTGGTTTTACTTGTCAGTTCAGTAGATGTTTTATCTTGGTGTTATGGCTTTCTGTACATTTCCTCTAGCTTCTTCGATCTTGTTATTATACATCTGTAATCCATCGGTGTCTTTTTATACCTTCTTGATTTAGTTATAATTATTCTGTATTTCCATTTTCACTTCACTGATGTCTTTTTGCACATTTTCTTTGACTTTTATAATCATATTGTCTGAGGAACAGATACTGTTACATGAATAGTATATTGTTATATTAATACTAAAATGTTCAGTATATGAAGACTCACTTGTTAAATATCTTTTACCTATTCCATCTAATTCAAAGTATTATTTCAAAATATTTATTGCTTCACATGTAGTATTACATTTGTAACCTTTCATTACTTAGAAAATCTTTGTAAAGTACTTTTTTTACTGTTAAAACTTGAGTACTTGAGAATGATCACACCAGTGTTCAAAATATTGTACCTGTTTTAAAATATTATTCCTACAGTAAAAGCTGTAACTAATAATACAATAACAGTATTAACTGTATTTTTGTTTAATAACGTATTTATTACTGTATCAAATAATATTAATGGTCTGTTTCTTAAATATTTATCAGGGTACCAAACAAAACATATACAACAGTTTTAACTGCGTGGTTTTTCATGGACCATACAATCAGTTTTAGTTCATTTTATTGACTTCCATAACTACATAACTGCTTCAGAAATATAAATATAACTTTAAATAAATGAAAGACAATCTTATAGAAATAGCTTTTGAAGATACTAGAGGCCTAAATATTTTAATGTTTTTTATGTACATATAGAACCTACACTAGAAGAACAATTAAACACACAGTTTGAAGCACCCTTATTCTTAACAACTTGGGCTATATCAAATTATAGACAAGAATTAAACAAATAAAAAAAACTAGGGTACATAAGGAAGATCCAATAAAAACAATCACAAATACACTTTAACTTAATAAGCTGCATGTATATTTTGAACATAAATTTGAAAATAATAGAAAGACATATTGGTCTCTACTTAAATTGGATATATTTTCTACAAAATTAGGTTGTGTGTGAGATTCATAAGATATATTTCCCCTGTCATAACATGTTTCTAAACAATATATTCAGGTTTTAATTTTTAAAATCAAATCTCCAAATGCCAATCAACTAGCCAAGACTGTCACTATTAAAATAAAGTAACTAAAATGGAAACTATGAAGTAGAAAAATAAAGTTTCTACAGTGATTTGTGAAATTGAAAATGAAAACAACTTTTTTAATGAAATGTACAGTTGTAAATTTCTAAAACGTTCTTGGGCAACACCAAAGACAAGGTTTGTCTTTTGGCATCTCTATACTATGAACAGAACTTCAGATAAAGAATGAATTATGAACATACCTAGATGTAATTTTTTTTTCTTCTAAATGTTAAATTTATTTCTCAAAATTACAAGTAGAAACTTCTCAAAGCTTCTACTAATGTAACTTAATTCTCAAGAAACTCATGTATAAGGAAGAGTTACAGGTAATTTAACTTTGGAATACTGAAATTGACTGTGTGGTGCCTACAATCTCCATGCTAGTCTCATTATCAGGTCAAAATAAGCATCACAATCGATAGAAGCACTCACTCCAGAATAATAGTTTAAGAATTCTTCCCATGTCACCTGGAAATTAGATAGAATTTTGATAAATGTATATTTTAGATTTTCCAATACATCTAAAGAGCTTTAATCATTATTAATTATTCTAAATAATTTTATGTTATAGAAGATATTATATAATACTACAGCAAGATAAGAGGTAAACATGCATTTATTATGTAATAGTACTGCAAGATATAAGGTCAACATTTACTTATTATGTAATACTACAGCAAGATACAAGGTCAAACTTTTTTATTATTATGTAATACTACAGCAAGATATAAGGTCAATATTTACTTATTATGTAATACTACAGCAAGATATAAGGTCAACATTTACTTATTATGTAATACTACAGCAAGATATAAGGTCAACATTTACTTATTATGTAATACTACAGCAAGATATAAGGTCAACATTTTTATTATGTAATACTAGAGCAAAATAAAAGGTGAACATTTATTTATTATGTAATACTAAAGCAAAATAAAAGGTGAACATTTATTTATTATGTAATACTGCAGGAAGAATAGAGGTCATTTTTTATCTTGATTTCCGTTTTATAAGATGAAATTTTCATTCAACAAATTATTTGAATTTTTTATAAATCTTATGATTTTTTCCAAACAAAATTTATAATGAGTGAAATTGAAAGAAGCTCTTCAAAAATAAGGTACTGGTGACATTGCATAAGCTATACCACAAAACAAAATGCATTATTATGATGAAGAAGAGAATATTTGCTAAAATATAAAACTTGCATATAATACTAAATTTGCCTTAAATTTTTTTTTTCACAAAAATGTAGAACAAAAATATTTCTATTTATAATATTTATTCAGTAAAAAATAATATTCCTTATTCAAGTGAATTTGAAGTTTGTTACAATCTCTTCAGTGTAATTTTTAAATTACAAAGAACTAAAGAAGAAAGTTTTAAAGAAAAGTTAAGATTTTAAAAGACATTATTATTTTAGAAACTACAATTTGTCTTAGCTGTTAGTTTATTGAATATCTCAAACTATAATTATTAAATACATGTACTTGTGCATGTATGAAAATATTTAACCTTTGTCAGTACAAATCATCAACACAGCCCGAGTACTCTGGACACTATTAACTGTGGATTCCTACATTTGGATAGAAATTAACTTTATCTAGAACTTGTCAACTAAACTCTCTCAAAATTTTATGTAACAATATAGCAATCAAATTAAATCTACAAAAATTTCAATAACATTTTTGTAAATGTCCATGATCATCATTTCACTTGTCTGTTTTCCAAAGTTTTGATTTTTTTTCTGGTTCTAAAATTCCTATATTTATACTTAATGTTTATAAGTTTTCTAATGTATTGTTGCGTCATCGAGATCATGTGACTATTCTCACGCCCTCTGCTTTCTAGAACTATCCTGTACTTTGGCGAATGCTCTAGCATTTACTAGATATAGGGTAGTCTGGTATATAAAAGAGGGTGACAACGTGACAGAATAATGTGTGTGTAGGTAATGAGTAATTGAACTGCAGTCAGAGAGAGACGTATTGTTGAAGTGGAGCTCGTGAGACGTGAACTAGCGTTTGTTATAGCGCGAATGTTGAAAATAAGTGTATCGTAAAGTTGTATTCGTAAAGAATAAACCAGTTTTATTAAGTAAGGACTTGTGTCGCTAAAGTTTCGTCGGAACGAAGTTACGGAAAATCAATTAACAAACGGAGACGTAACAAATTGGTGTCAGAGAGTGGGATAGTAAAAAAAAAAAAAAAAAGTGAAGAAGATGGAAACGAGAGGCGGAAAATCAAACTACAGT